GACATGACCCATTCGCAGTAATAAATTAGTCATTGCGCCACAGTAAATAAAGATTGATTTCAAATTGTACCCCAAGAAGAAATATGTCAACTACAGAAAAAGATTAAAAAAGTCTGATAACCTTCACATGATAAAAACAAGTAGATTGAGTGTATCAACAGGCCACCAATAGACAACCACTAACAATTGCCTAATAAATCATAAGACATGGTTGTGTTTAACATCGTTATACAAACCCTGTGAGCATTGTATATCAAAAAGGAAAAATTAGACTTGAGCAGAAAATGATGTGAAGTTAAATGAGTACATACAAATAGTTCCGACATTGATAGCTCGTTTCTGAAAATACACTGCAAGCCGTATTTGGTACAAAGTTTTACCAATTTCGGATCCGTCTGATTTGAGCCATGGCATGTTGTGAATATTATGTACTTGAAATGGCGAGGTTTTTGGAACCAGGGAACGTCGGGAGGCTTCAACGCTTTGCGCCAATAATAACCTCCGTTGTGATAATCGGTGATGAAGACTTCCATGAAGTCAAATATACGCCATAATAACCAAGAGAGACTGCAATTTTCGGGGTCAAAATTGAGGGCACGTATCATCCGGAGCTGTGGGAACACCTCAGCATACACTTCAAAAGGCAAGGCATCCGAGATAAACTTGAAGAATAGAAATTCGAGCAAAGTACGCAAGGCCAAGAGCATTTGACCATCGAATTGAGCACTTCACACAAGGAATCACAGTCGTTTTGAGTGTCTTGCTCATTGCTACCGTCTAAAATCAATATCTTGAGTTTTGCTACTCCCGTCACTGCATCTACTAATTGCTTGGAAAAGCCAACCGCATCTACGTATGAAAGTTTCAAATCGATCAGAGTCGAACTGCACAAAGCAATCAGATCCGCTGCCACATGCATTTGAATAATGTAATCGGAGCGAGCTGGAGTATTCAAGTCGGCCTGAGTTTGATATGTCGATTGAATTGTTGGGTTTGATCCGCTTCCAATATGATCAGGCAAGAATTGGACATTATCTAAGCACAGACGCTCTAAATAGAACATGCTAGGCATCGGCGTCGGATTCTTCCACATCATAACCAAATTACGAGTGTTTGTCGACTTGTACAGCCACATTGAACGATAGGCCAATGGTAAGATTGCAACAGCCCAAGATCTGCCAAGCCAACGTAAATTAAGTAGGCATTTGATAGACCTGAAGTCGAGATAAAAAACATCGGCAGAATTCGATTCATTTGAAGGATGGAATGGCATCTTGCGCATAAAGTGATTTAGAATCAACTGTACTAACTCGATAGGTAAAGAGTTTGGACCAGACGCCATGATGACAAATATACAATAGAATATAGCGACAATAAAGGACTATATTTTCAATGATATATATACCCAATAAATAAGGAAGTTACCACCAATGAACACTTACAAAAATAAAGAAGTCACCCCCAACAATAATTGTACGCGTAGAAAATCCCCACCAAGTTTGATTTCACGGTATTATAATAAGCAAAACCCCAAAAGGATTCTACTATTACGAACCATTGGGGAGGAAATAACAGGATTCATACACTTCACATCATGCATATTGTTACCGTATAGTCTGTGTGTCAAGTTTTGACCACTCCATGAATACAAGATAGCGGAGCGTTCAATTCACAGCTTGTGACCCCACGACATGTGTCATTCAAACGGTGTATAATTCACAAAAAACTGTGCGTGAGGTTATTCATCCTGAAGAAACTAATTCACCTTACTATGTTTCAATTGACTAATATACTAATACAAGTTAAGCATCCACCAATGTAGAAATAAATCTGCCACTGTCAGCGCTCTATACCTAAAAGCATAGTAACAAGAACAGGTTGACAAACATAATATCAAATGCAATGAATGGCAATGAGGAATTGAATGCCAATGCTAAAAGATCAATACTATGCATACTCCAAGGATATTGCAAATCCTAGTATATCAAGAGAACTAAAATGAAAGCTTGCGCATGTACTTGTTACTAACTATAAAACAAATAAATTTAAAATGTGACAAAAATGGGGAAACATTATGAAATGTTCATAATTCACGCACACAACTTGCATCCATGCTAAAACAGACCCTTCAACATATAGACCTTGTAATTCATAGGCACCACCAATGCAAATCGCAAATCAAATAAGGCATAAGACAAAACAATCAATTACCTATGACTAAATATGTAAAGTACCACGATCCTCCGCACTCAGTCTTCATCTTGACATTGCCTACTAAAACAAAAGCTATAGCTCTATCACGACCAATAGAAGAAATTGATATGAGCCAGGTAATCATAGTGGAGAACAAAATCAAACAATCAGCATAATCTTACTCCTTTTTGATCAACCACTAAACACCCCAAATGTTCATATACCTTATGAAATGAGGATATCAGCAAAATAATTTCGATAATCCTGTAAACACGTCATACAAAGTATCAACGACCATACAAGATAAATTGACAAAATTAAAACAAATCAATCATACCAATAGTTGCTCATGCGTTAACGCATGTGTAAATAAACATTTGATGCCAAAGTTGGCGCACAGGCGCACCAATTCCGCATCCTCCTGCTCATAACCATTCCAAGTAGTGAAAATTAAGTATTTGAACTTTGCAGGCTTCCTGACTACATGAACATCCGACCGCTTCAAAGCTTTGCGCCAATACTCGCTTCCATTGCAATAATCAGTGATTAATAACTCCATCTCATCAAATAAACTCCATTGTAGCCATAACAAATTGTGTTTGTAAGACTTCCACCATAAGCATCGGATAACTCGGAGATGAGGAAATGAAAAGGTGCAGATATCAAGAGGTAAATCATTGGCGATGCAGGGAAAGAACAGGATCTCAAGTGATTCTTTCAACGCCATAATCAATTTTCCTGATTGGTCGGTGCCATCAGGCGAGAGGCATTCCAGGGAGTGAATTTTGATTCGACCCGAGCGACAGAAACTAGTAATTGCATCGGAGTTTTTACGATCACATTCTACCCATAAGTGACGTAAACTTGGCAAAGAATCATGTTGTATCGCCATATTATTGAGAGAAGTGCATCGAATCGAAAGAGATCGCAAGGTAGGACACGCCGTGAGAAATTTGCGGATTGAATCACAGTCGTTCATTGTGTTTCGCATCGTGCTACCATGTATGACTAACACCTTGAGATTACGCACAACACTTAAGCTTCTTATCATTCCAGCAGAAAACCCCACCGCAGCAAAAAAACTGATACGTAGACTTGACAAAGTTTCGCCACACAAAACAATGAGTCTCTCCACCACATCGATCGAGATTACCAGGCCGCTGATATCATATAAAAACAAATTTCTAGTGTAATGACAGTTTGAATCCGGTAAGAGTTTAGAACCAAGCGTAACAAAATTCGGTAAATAGTGAACATTAGTTAACCCAAGATTTGGCAACCGAAACGCGCTAGCCGCGAATGATGGAGTCTTCCACATAATAACCAATTGTTCCGCGTGGATTTTCTTCATAATGAGCAACGAGTTAAAGACATACGGCAAGATTGCCATATTCCAAGATTTGCCCAGCAAACGGAGAGGAAGAAAACGGACTACTGAGTTGAAATCAGAGAAATGAATATCTGCATTATTTGATTTGTCTGGAGGAAAATACGCAATTTTGTCTGCGAGATGCGAAAGGATCATTTGCACTAATTCGACTGGTAACAACTTTGAATGAGACAAAATCATTTTGCAAATGGATGACAATTTCATTAGTTTGATCATCATTATATAAGGCAAACAATCATGCAGTGAATATAGAATGCTTACTGAACATTGGGGCAACACCGAATAAATCCAACATAGAAAACGATTCCAGTTGAATAATGTCCGTATCAACCTTTTGACGTTCCTTATCGGCTTTTGACAGCAAGACAAGTGGAAGAGTGAGAAACCAATGGGGTGTAGTGAAATCAGAGGGACTGGAGTAGAACAATAAAGAAGTCACCTTTTCATAAAGCGCCATTTCCAATTGAGAAGAGACAATGAAAAATCTGGGTGATGTACTACACCAAACCCAATCGATTGACCATTTGAACAAGCAAAAGCCAAAAGTAATGCAAAGATGTTACAGACAATCGTGACAGCAGGATTTACACAATAATACGCCTGACATACTCACTATTCTAGTTTGAGAAGCAGCTCGCAACGGTATGTCCTCACTGTTGACGTAGCTAGACATCTCTTGTATATTAGCCTTATCATGCTATTGGGTACGACCAATGTAGACACACATAGACAGAGTCAAGACACATACACATGCATTTGGTTGGTGACTCATTCGCCGAATTTGTACATCATGTCAACAAACTCATGTGTATTTGATCATCGGATAGCATGATGAAAACCAAGATCAATGAAACAAATGTTCTATTAAACGCAACACTGGGCAGCAAAGCGAAAAAACGCAACGAAATAAACAATAAAGGGCTGGTGATACCCACTGACATATCGAAGGTCACCAAACACAAGTCACTCACATCGATACTCGACACCTAACCATATCAAATATTTTAATCATAGGACGCGCCAAGTTTTACACAATCAAGTAAATGAATAATATTGGGTTGAACCAAACTCGCATGATCCATGATCAATATGCGTATGATCCATATTGCCCAAGTACACATAAAAGAAAAACCAGGCCGCCCTATGAAACAGCATTCATGAAGAATGTTTCACAACTCCCAGGGATGAGAAATAGGTCATCTAAAGAAGACAAACGTTGGTTGTAAAACAATACAAGTCATCAGCAAACAATAAAACATATCAGATAAGAATTCCAGAATCATTCGAAAAACATGAGACTCACTTGTACTCATGTTCAGAACTCCAAAACTGGGTGAAATACAATGTTTGTGGTCGAAATACCGTCTGGGCTTGATGGAATACAAACCTCAACATTTGAAGCATTTGTGCAACATGATAATGCCACATACAACTGGCCATGTGAGAAAACCGGTTTTGGCAATAGCACGACAACCCTATCCAAACTTTGCCCCTGACTCTTATTGATAGTCATACAAAAAGCCGGCATTACTGGAAATTGATGTCGGTAAAAAGGTATAGGGCAATCTTTGTTACCTTGATGATGCAACGTCATTTTAGGCAGGCTGATCGCATTTCCTTTCATTTCACCGGTCAAGATCCAACAATGTAAAGCATTTGGTTTACATTCTGTTATAAGCAGCCGTGTACCATTGCAAAGGCCATCGGCAAGATGCAAATTCCGCAACACCATTACAGATGCCCCGACTTTTAACTCCAGTTTATGTGCAGGAAAGCCAGCAAAATTGAATGTGTTCAAAACCTCTACCAACACCGGGTCACAGAAAGCTTGATCCATTTTATCAACTGACGTTGAGACATGATTAATTCCAGGTAAAGATTCCATAATGCGGTCATTCAAAGCACGGACAGTAGCATTCAGCAGTGTTATTAAACATCTTCTTGAGTATAAATCTGTCAAATCTCGCCAGTTTTTGCAATGTATTAAGTGATCTACTCCCCCATATTCCGTCATGAGAACTTCTTCATCTATTAGAGAGCCTGGCGGGATCAAAGAAACATTGCAGTGTTGCAAAACCAATTTCTCAGCGAATTCTTCTTGTAGATGACCAGAACCCATATCCAGCAGCCATTTTGCGAAGTCCTTATTACTCCTATTAGGCGCCGTTAAAGTTCCACCCAGCCTTATGTTCACCAAGAGTGAATATTTGTCAATTTTGTTCCACAAATAAGACGCTTTCAACGTTGCCTTTGCTTGTTCTAAAAGAGTTGATCGCCTAACAATTGGTAACGTCTGTCGAAAATCCCCCGCGAATAGTACTACTTTGCCACCAAATGGAAGGTTAATACCGGTTAAATCTCTCAGCGTCCGATCAACACATTCGATTCCATGGCGGTGTTGCATTGCTACCTCGTCCCAGACAATGAATTTTGTCGCAATCAAAGTACGACCCAGTATCTCTCCAGGTGAAACGGGACAAAACGAGTCGTCGTATATTGGAATTGGAATCTTGAAGGCGCTGTGAGCTGTCCTCCCTTTCAACAACAGCAAAGATGCTATACCTGCCGCGGAAACCGCCTGGAACTGTACGTTATTTGCATTGCAATAATGCAATATGCAATTGAGTACGAATGTCTTACCGGTTCCACCTGGCCCATCTAGAAACGCCAAGTACGGCTGATTTGAATCAATGGCGGCGACAATCGGTGTAATCACTGCATGCTGTTCGCGTGTCAAAGTTCGTAACATGGAGTCGAATTTGCGAGCGCTCTCAGTTGGGTCAACCCCCTTGTCTACATCTACCCGATGGCTATCCGGTAGGCCGAGTTTGAAAAGCAGAAAGGTATCAACTTGGGGCATGCCAACATCTTCTAGGTTCGTATCCATCTTGAGTAACGTTTTCTCAAGTAGGTGAAGGCCGTAATTACGAATATGTTCTGGTGAAGGCTTTGCATGAGGATTCAATTTGAGAATTGCATGCTCACAATCATCACAAATATCGTCAGCATGGCCAAGCCATAGATCGCGAGGACTTGAAGGTGGACTGTGACATAATATGATTGCAAACATATGTCTCAACTGCCTTCCAGTTTGCCACGTAGCAGCTTCATTGAGAGATTTGTGATAATTTCAATCATCTAGCAAGAGTCCCAATTTTTCGGCGGCCTCGCGAAACGTATCGTAAATGATACCGTTAACTGTTTGTAAAGAGGCGAAGGATGTAGGGCCAGGGACATGTCATAGCAACAAACGAAGATAATAAACATCACCACGTTTTACGTTTGCAAAGTAAACACGCCCTATAGATATGACTGAATTTTTGCGAGCGGTAAAGACACAATCATCCTCGTCCCAAGTGAAATGTTTAGGCACCTCATGGTACTTCAGAGATCGCACAGTCCCAGGTGAAAAAGGTAGCTCGATGTCCTCTTGACACAGTCAAAAGAACTCAGTCAAGGTTGTCCTGTCGGCACGTCCAGTTTCAAGCGACCGTCGCAGTACATTCTCGTCCACAAAGTAAATCGTTTGACCATTCTCCAAATGCAAACTCAGTCGCTGTACCGCAGGAAATCTACCCGACATCTCATACATCATCAAACGCCACACAGCTAAATTCAAAAGTCAGCCAGAGAACATAAAATAAGGCAAAGAATGAACTAACCCTCAGGAGCGCTTAGGAATCGAGCATCTAAGAAAGACTTAATCTCATCTTTTGTGTCTTCACACTCTACGGTTGCCATGGTACAATCATGGCCTTTGAGAATGTACTTGAATAAGTATTTAATTGCTCGAATGCTGTGTGCTACTTCAACATTGATATGACACTTATACTTCAGAAGGAGAAATCTATTGTGAGGGACTACACTTCCATTGTCAAACCGATCAACACCTTTTTGGAAAACGCGCCCATTATTCGGTTGTTTGTAGCATGGGTAAGACGAGTCCGTCAATGTCGTATGCTCGGTGAAAGGCCTTGGGTAACCTAGTTTGCAATCTGATCCAGTCCAACACTTGTACGATTGGCAAGGCCCATGTAACATGTTTTCCGTCACCAAATTGTACAGCAAAGGTTTGAGGATGGGATCTGGTAACTGGGCCGATATCAAGCAATCGACCTGCTCAGGTGTATCCGGTCTTGAATCTTGATTGTAGAAAAAGTATCAGATGGGCGTGAGGTAAACCTCTCTTCTGGAATTCGATGGTATAAACATAAGCAGGGCACTCTCCAAACCTAGCAAACTTCGTCACGTCATGCAGCATGCTGTGAAACCTGTTGTAACAAGCTCGGGCGACGAGATCTGGCCTATCGTATGAAGTTTGGTTGTCTTCAAGAGCGTTCGTAATCTCAGGCCAATCTTGGTTCGCCGTCATCGTGATGAAGAGACTGGGGTTGCCATATTCCGACACCAATGACATCGAGTCCTGGTACAGCTGTTGCATACTCCTAGGTCCTCCAATAAAGCTTGATGGGAGCACAACCCTTTTACCTACCACCTCATCTTCCACTTCATTACCCAAAGCCTCTACTGCGCCGCTGTATACTTCAGCTCGTAACTTCTTCTGATTGTAACGGAGGTACTGCAGCCGAGAGTGCTCGACGCAGACATACATATCTACAGCAAATTCCTGGAATAATCGACCTGAGGCTAGTATTACAGAATACGCAGGACGTTGGAAGAGCAGGTATGCAAACCATTGCAGGTTGGAAACCTTACCCGATTTATCTATGACGATACAAACGCAAGAAGTGACATCAGGGACACTGACAGCCAACCATCAAATCTGGCACAATCCGACTCACTTTTGGAAGTGGGATTGGTGTATGCTTCGTGCCACATTTGCAAGCCATGCAAGAATAATAAAGGATACCGGAGCGCAAAGTATGCGGTGTGCAACTCTGACATAGGTTCTGTCTTGCCACTTTTCCTTCGTAAGATGATATCACGCTGACGCTTACCCACTTGCCCATCACCTTCTATGATTGCTGCGACTTCATTTGCGCTCGGTTTGTTGTACCGACGATGATCTTTGCCGGGAGCCAGAATAGTTTTGATACGCAGAGTACGGGGGACCTCACGAGACTTGTTGCATATCTCGGCGGCGGACTTGAATACCCGTGCATGAGGATTGTGTTCATACATGAACTGTTGAAATAGAAACATTATGTCTGGATTGAGATCCGCATTGCTACGTCGGACCCGCAGATGAGCTTCGTCCATACCTCCGCCACCATAAACAAAAATTTGAGCAAAACCGGGGTCATTCCCATCCAAAGGCATCAATGAACCTATTTTATGAGTGATACCACCGTGCATCCTAAACACATACGGGCCGCGCCCGTCAAGCACAGTCCTGTCCATCTTTACCCCCATTGAAGTGAAAGAAAGTGCATTGTTGTAATTTTGAATCTTTTCACGAAACACCCGTGACTCTGTATTGGAATTCCAATGATGTTACAAATCGTACCTCAGAAAAAGGAATTACAGAGCAAAGGAAGTAACTCACGTCTATCACGGCCACTTAGAAGGTCACGAAAGAATTGTGGAATTTGTTCACCAACATCGGCAGGAAAATAACGAAGAGGAAGTTTGATGGACCCGTGTTTGCAGCAATTAAGAAAAGACGCTCGAGCGTGATTTATGTCTGATTGACGCCGCTCAATCTTCCACCTGAATGCACCACAACCGGTACAAACATCATTAGGACCCACATCATAAGGGATTTCTTGACTGAACCGATATTGCAAATTCACTTCAGATCCGTAAATTTCTTCAGGAATCGCCAAACCCTTTTCCTGATGACGTGGAGGCATTTTGAAATTCGAGTGGAAATGATATAATACGATATAATAATTGGTCAAATGAGGCGTATGTATGAGTGAGATGACAGTAAGGTGGTGATCAGAGAGCAAAAAGCCAGGGAAACAGATAACTACTTTGTCACATTCAAGTCGATTTGTGATTTCAAAGTTCGTGTCAAAAAGGAGCATAAACGTGCATCCATAAACCGTCCAAGGTTGAAAACACGCCTGAATTGTGGCCGTGTAACAGAAGCGTGAATGGATTTCAAACCAGTCTCCGCAATAATATATCACTACAAAATGCGTAAAAACCACACAACATAAGAGAACTACCATAATTATCTGTCATCAACAGTAATGTGGTAACATGTATTCAACAAATCATTATCACTCTTGTGCTGGCCATCGTAATGCAAGGCGAGTAATGCATGCGAATTAGCAAGAGGATATGTAACATTCGATAACAGGACCGTGTGTACAATTAACCAATTCCAAATCACCACAATGTGAAACACAACCGGAACGCCAACTCGAAAGGCTCCATCGGAGGCATTGGAATCACTGTCAATCACATCAAGGGACATACTACGTATTGTCCGCGCGCCACGGGAAATAATGTCGAGACAGGGAATTTCCAACATGCGGCGATTATAAAATGCCATTATGTTGAAATTGACACAATCCGCGAAGGCACTGGACCTTTGATAAACGTCATCAGAAGCCATCGCATCCATGGTGCGCGAACTTCTGTTCGGATAGTATGACTGTGTCCATATTGAATATCATAGACGAGTAACCTAATTCGCTGACTTTGTGAAGCACCAATCGAGAGTAAACATTTGTATATAGTTGATTGATGGAGATAAGCTGGTATTCTAATAGGAAGCAACATGAAATCATGATACACAACTGCAGGCTGAACAACATATAAACTGCGGATCCACGAAGAGATTACACATCGTACGTTTTCTAGCACGCCGCCCGACAACCCGGCCCGTTGTTACAAACGCGCAAAATCACGCTTCACTTACTTGGACAGCTGATTGTATTAGTCTGGTTTGACTTAGATAATCGAGTTGGTGTGTTCTCTAACTCATACTGGGAGTGATGGAGAACATGTTTCAAAATAAAAGTACTCACGAAATAAGGGTTACAACATCCACATATAAGGTATCAAAGGAATCGTAATTTTAACAAAGTATTAGCGAGTGTGATCATAATTGAGACCAAAGGTTGGCACATAATGCTACACAACACTAAGTGCAAAACGCAACTAAATGAATTACTCATGTACGACTTCTAGGCACAACATCACAGCAAAACACAAGTGAAGCAGGGGGATTTTGACTTGATTCAACTTGAATATTATATGTGCTGCATTTGTGAACAAATAACACAAAAAAAGAATAGTCACTACAGAGTCGGACCACGCTATCTATATGTGAATTCTTGGAATATATAAAAATGGTAATCACAGATACAGGATACAAAAACATAAAGGAGAATATGTTGAAGTTGACATCTACCGAATTTGCTATCATATGTATCTCTCAAAAGAGAAGACAATTCTAAGTTGATAAAGGTAGAGAAACACGGAGCTGCTCACAAACAACAAAGAAAACAACGGTGTGTATGGCATGATCGCTATTAATTAACAGGCATCCAGGCCTAAAAAGCAAACCCAAACCAGTCAATCAGAATTGTAAGCCACACTGGGGTAAAAAATGAAATAAATACACCAGGTACTCACAACGCATGTTCAATGGGAGGAGCCTTCACCGGAACCGGTGGACAACTTCCTTTTGGGTGATATCGGGCACGCTTTTTGACTTCCGCAGGTACTGCCCTTGGGGGCATGCAGGGCTTGTCCAGGTAGAAGCCGGGGAACCTGATGGGCCAGGGGACAGAGGCAATTGGGAGGCACAGTTACGTAACCCAACACTCTCACCTTCCAATTCAACAGCCGCCTTGTCCGCAGGAAAATCAGCGCGAGAAGTGATCTTTTTCACAACGAACCTATAGTAAATGTCAATCAATATTTACATTCATGAATGAAAAACACAATGACTGCATACTTTGGTGGCTTTCTGGATTGACCTGTCAAAGGCTCCAAACTTGAAGTCGCGGCTGACGCCGAATGTTGTTCCTGAAAACCGGTGGTCAAATAGATCTTGTTTACCTAGCCAGACAATATCGTCATTATGATTGTCCGAAACTCTAGAAGCATGCAAACGCTCACGATTACCACATAGCAAGCGGTGTCCTGATTAAAATCCTTGATATACCCATGGATATGGCATTCTCGCCCAACTGTGATTGAGTCAACAATTCCAGAGAGAGCGCGGGTGGGGCGGACCAGGTACTCCATCTTGCAGACCCGTCTAGACTTCAGCTATTGGTATCAGAAAGTCAGCCAGTGATGAGACCGTAAGAAACACAAACTCAACTTACAATTGGGTGATAGTCTGCATGTTGAATGGTCAAAACAGTCGTACGGATTTCGCCCTGGGTAGGGGAATTTCTTAACATATCACAGCACTTTTCCACAATTGTGTCTATACCAATGACAATCCCGAGAGACGTGACACTAACCAAGTCTACCAAGTCCGCTTGGCAGACCTCGCAAGCGGACATTACATTCGCGTTGCTACCCTCAAACAAGAGCTGATCGTTATCAGTTTCAGGAGTGTTCGAGGGGAAAAAAGAACCTCGTAGGTAGTAAATGTAATTCTGAGACAACATATAAGTAGGAGAGCTATATCCCTTGGCTTTGATTTCATAAAGTAAGCGTTGATCACGGTCCACGCCACCACAACCTATGTAAGTGACATATGTTCGGTATTCGGATCGCCATCCGTGGTTTGGTGAGAGCTAGACACAATGTAAGATTGGTATAACGCATGAATCACCTTGGGTAATAGTCATTTGTCTCACCTTTTGTTCTATTTCAAAATTTCCAGATACGTATATTGCATGGTACGTAGGGTTTGAGTTGTCGGACATGATGAATGTTGCTAGTACCAAAAGGGACTTGGAGTCGCAGAAATAAACAAATCATGATATTGAATAGTATTGAATGGCATAAGCACAGTATCATTCGCGATGTGATGGCATGCGGAGGAAAAGGAAATAATAAATACCTATATGAAACCCAAGAAGACAAGGAATGGTGCCTAATTAATGTCGAATGAGTTGCAAACATACCTGTTCTTATACGAATTCCAGAGACGATTATGAATACTGGCTGCTTGACATCTAGGTCATGCCCCCAAAGAATTACAAGTGAAAACATCCGGTGATTATGAATATGTTGACGGAGGGAAATTGGTATAGTTAAGCGTTACAATTGGATTCATGACAGGCAGAATGGGTTGACAGGCACTTTTGCCGTGGCTATTGAAGAATGGGGATGAATACCTATCACGCCGAATGGTAAATGAGTGAAAGGATACTTCCAAGTCACTTCACCATGATTGATCGCATGATATTTTATGCTATAGTCGATTATGTTGGTCGTTGATATGAAATCAGTGCGCATACACAAATATTGACACCAAGTAAGAGTATAATACGGAGACAAAATGAAAACGAGACGCAGTGACGAGGAAACAAATGATCAAAGTATGGAGATTAAGAATATACATACTTGGGATGCAAAAAGACCCATATCATACACTGAAGTGCCCCAACACGTTTCTGACACGAATTGATGTCGTAATCAAGCCAACCTGCCATCGGAACACGCAACTATAGACGGTCAGTAGTCGAGAAGTGTGAAAACACTAAGCCTGAAAGTATTTGAACCAACGAAATAGGCAGTGGTATGACATAAGAATACCAGCCGACATGAAGAAGCATAAAGCGGAAAATCCAAGTTCAATCCAAATTACAATATACTGTGATATGTCAAAACCAGCAAAAGTCGGCGAGATACATCGGGTTAGATCTCTTTGGAGCATTTGAGGACCAAGCAGGTGATAATATTGCGTCTTTATGAGGAGCAATTCGCAAGTACACATATTGTATGTTCAAATACATATGGCGAGACAGGGTGCAAGATCTATTGTTTGAGATACCAGTCACATGTTTAGATCCGACTACTGATTTCAACATTTAAAAACTGTGACATGCACCAAAAACAAAGAGTAAGAAAAATCAAGTGTGATATCACAAGATTTCAATTGAGACAGATGCGCAATATAGATATGGAATAGCAGCTTTGAATAAACGTTCCCGCAGGATTATGACCAGATTTGATTAATCTACGGCGCATGGCAGGCACGATGAACCGTTCTTAGACAAAGATACCTGAGTGTCATGACATATGGGAATTGGACAGGTAATCTGACGCAGACCAAATATTCGACGACACATCCAAATCAATGTAGGCGCACTAATGTGTGTATGCCACTACAAATGTATCTCCAAAACTGACATTACCTCGTCAACCAGTAACTTGGCAAAATTGCAAACTGTGGTAGATGTAAGGCACTGGGCTCAAAAACTGGTTAACGTTTTTGAAGTTCTATGGTCAACAAGTCAAAAGTCCAAGAAGGGACTGAAAAAGTCGCACAAAATATGAACAGTGTAGAAGATATATTAAATATAAGAGAGTAAGTGCAACATTCTGTTAAAACTGATTATTTTAGGAGGCACTGAAAATCATGCTTGGCCCTAGACACGCAGTGGATGGTGATTGAACAATGATAATTAGTTGTTGGCCAAGAAAACAATGTGGCAAGCAGAAAAACAGGTAGAGGTGTGATACAAAATCTATTACAGGCATTCAATATGAAACAAAATGCTAAGATAAACACACTGTGCCAGAGTTTATAAGGGTGCAGCACATGATTTTGTTTTTCATAATGTTTCAGGAATAGATGCACTTTTCTTGTTTTTGCTTTTTGGTGGAGCACGGGCTCTTTTTTTAGGAGGTTGTCCGGTGGTTTTTGACGCTTTTGGAACACTGCTGGACGTCGACGGTAATGACAATGCGGGTGAAGAACCGGAGCCAGACTCAACAGCCAATTGCGATACCTCCCCGGATCCAGATACAAGTGTTTGTGAAGAGCTGGAAGCAGGAATAGGCGATATGAATGGCGAGGACACTGCTCTCGATACAAATCTACTTGATTTAGTCAGCAAGGCCAAGAGTGGGACAAAGAAGCATATGAAAAAAAGTTGACTCACTTCACAGGCTTCTTTGATGGGATCCCATTTCCATCAGTTTTTGCTTTGGGGGGTGCTGCTAAATCTCAATACCCACTTGTCATGTATAATTTGTTTGCCTGTCGAGATAAATGACAGAAACAGTAAATCACATGATAATCTCAAACTGCAAAAAGGACAGGACTAACTACCGCCACATAGGAGCTGGTCTCCACATTGAAATCCTTGATGTATCCATGTATCGCACATTCACGTCCCGTTTTCAAATATGTAGCAATGCGAGCTAGATTTGGGGTGGGGCGAATCAGGTATTCTACTTTGCTCACGTGAGTTATTTGATTCTGAAATCACAAGTCAGTAACTGGATAAATCAATTTGAAAACAATGTACTTACAATGGGGTTAAATTCAGAATGCTGCAAGGTAACAACTGTTGTTTGTAAATCGTCTTCTTTGCCAGTTTTCTTCAAATATTGACAACATTTCTCGATGATGTGATCAATGCTGATTACAATGCCTAGACCTGAAATACCCACTGAGTCCACAGACTCTCCCTCGAAGTTATCAAAAGAAGCTACCATTGTAGCGTCAGTACCTTCAAATAAAAATCGGTCACTCTCAGTCTGAGGTTGGTTTGTGGGGAAAAAAGAACCACGGAGGAAATAGGTGTGGTCCTTGTAAAGTTTGTGTTCATGGTCTGCAAGACCGGTTGCCCTGATCTCATACAGCAATCTTGCATCACGGTCTCCACCTCTACAACCAATTGATACGGCATAGGTAGTATATTCGGGGCCAGACCCAGCAATAGTGATTGGGGAGACCTGTGTAGAGTAGTAGGAGTATGTAAGCCTTGCGTTTCACCCAAACAACCGACCAGACAAATATCTGCACTTACTCTATTTTCGATTTCGAAGTTGCCAGAGAGATAGATACTGTGGTGAGTGGGTGGTGACGCGGCCGACATCCTTTGTGATTTCAAAGTCTAGAAGCAACATTATTAATTGAAGATATCATTGACAAAACACATGTGGAATGAGACAAAGCAGAGAAACTAACCGTTTTGCGAGTTGGTATCAATACAAAATGAGGAGCGCAAATGCCACCAGCTGATGGACTTTGGTGACAAAACAGGGAATGTATGGTATGATTTAGGCAGCAGAAGCATGCAGTACGGGTCCTTTATATAGCTTTTGATAAGCTGAGGCAGGTGTTGGTTAGTAAGGCATATCGCGCGCGTTTGAATCAGCAGACTGGTGAACCTTCCAAGGAGACAATCCGTGGTAGCATGATTTTTGCGCAACGATTTGTGAAATCATTCTGTGCCTATGAGAATCAACCTTGCAGGAGATTGTGGCGGGACATCTGCCAAAAGGGGAATCCCAAGGCGACTTTTGTATTTGAGTTGTACGTTGGTGATCACTGAAAGCAAAGATTACACGCCGAGGTATATGGACTTTTTGATTTGGTACATCAGACATTTGGTAATGTGTTGAATAAGCAACATTGAGTGAAATAGTCAATTGTGTTGGAATATATTCCGGTTAGCGTGACTTTTTGGATGAGCAACATTGAGTGAAATAGTAAATTGTGTCACAACATATTCCGAGTAGCGTGAAATGTTGAAAAGGATTTCATTCATGATGCCGCACGCCCCGAGAGCTGGACACCTAGCCACCCAGTGAAAATACAAAAGGCCGCTGTCATGATTGCGGAGACATTGAGGTAAGCTTTGATACTTCAATAATTCAATATATGCCTTGGAGTTTCTCAACGAAAGGGGATGAAAAAATATACGGAGTTGCCTTTACGGCTGCGTATGATTGTGTATTTGACGCAAACATGAGTCAGGTGGACAGTGATAAGTGGCAAAAACATATGGTGGCAATATAAAAGTTGCCGTGAGTGTTGTTTGTGCGACACATACTGCAATCAGGTGGCCGCTGACAAATGTTGACACTTGATTGAAGATGAGCCTAACGCAAATAATTGACGGATTGCCTGGTTTCCGGATGATTTTGTACCAAGGTCCTAAACTCTTATAGGGAGAAGCTTGTGTATTTTGACAAGTTTTGTAAATGAAGTGGCTTTGGGATTAAATGTTATGATGAGTGAAACTCATTGATTGAGAGTCACCATTCATCACATATCTGAGATTGCACAGTTTGGTCGCAGAAATGAGATTGCCTGCTACATCTGGACAGTATAGCACATCCGACAAGGTGGTTTCAAATTTGACATTGTCGAAGTCGTAAGTCGTGATAGTGACATCTCCAGCTTGATTAGCGACCATTTCTCCACCGTTTGCTGATTTGATTTTCACTGGACGAATTTTGTGAATAGATTTGAAGATGTTCATATCATTGAATATGTCCTTATTCGAACCGGTGTCCATGAAGAAATCCGTTTTGTTGACAGAATCCGTTGCAATTGCAGCATACGCAGTGGTAAGGTTTATAACTTCATCTTCAGCTTGCTCGACTTCTTCCTCGACTGCTAGAGCAGCATTGGCCGAAGCGGCAGGTTTTGACTGAGTTGTTCTTGATGAAAAAGCTTGGTCGAATAATCGAATCTTGTCGGCATCAGATAGTTGAGTTGGTTTAGAGTTGACACGCAATACAGGAGCACTCCATTGCTGTTGCATGGGACGAGATGAAGAGGGGTTGTTATTGTTTTTGGCCTTACAGTCACGGTTTGAATGCATAGAAAAATGATGGCCAGGGTGAGAGCATAAAGCATCTGGATCATTGCTTGATCGATCACCCTTTTCGAAGGCAGCGTTCTTCTCTGGTCTTTTCGATTTTGTAACGACAGTGTACGCCACGGTCGGACTGTTGTCCGAAGGATTCATTTGAGCCTCGGTGAGAAGACGATTGATCACGTTGGAGGTGGTTAAATTCTTAACGTCACCCATCAGCTGTTGTATGATGCCTCCATAGTCGTCTCGAGGTAAGTTGATTAGCATTAGAAGAGCTAAGACTTGGTCAGAGAGTTTAAGACCAGATTTGATGGATGCTGTTTCAGCCAGTTGATTGTGTAAAGGTTGTGCCGAGCTGACGTAGTCCTCTAGTTTAGTGGATGAGTCGTACTTGTGATTCACAATTTTCGTGATGATGTTGGCTGCAGCGAGACCCGAGCTCACCCCGTGTCGTTGTTCCAGTGATTGTATCGCTAGAAAAGGATAATCCATGCTGGCGATGTGCTGTATGTGAGCCGCATCAAGAGTAGCTCGGATTGCTAGCATGACTTGCTGTTGACGCATTTCAAAGCGGTCAAGCTCATCTGGATTGGTTGGAGGTGGAACAGAAGACCGAATGTAGGATCCAAGACCGCAGGCCTTGATGTAACTCTCAATGTTCTTCTTCCAATGGTGAATGTCGCAAGTCCCTAACTTTGGGAAAGTCGCCAGGATGGAGGTGCTAGGCATTGCCCCACGTGAATCAGACATCTTGAAAGATTGTTGTACAGTCTGTACAGTTTCACCCGATGAATTAGATTGAGTTTCGTCGGAAGCGTCCGACGCAGATAATGAACCTTGATTAGCAGGCGTGCTAGCAGGTGTAGGAGACAATGTAGATGTGGGTGGTGGGCGGGCACCGGAAGAATTGGAATCCGAAGAATCGCAAGATTGCATTCGATAATTGAAACTGAACGAGATACCTCAGCTTGGCGCTGGGCTCATAACCTGATGATGATCAAAACAGCTGCACGAGTATGTCAGCACTCTAATAGTGAAATGAATAGGAGAAATAGAGTGTGGCACAAGGGATGGTGTTTGAGAGAAGAATGAACAAAGATCAACATGTATTTCATATACTAACCTGCACGAGTATGTCAGCACTCTAATAGTGAAATGAATAGGAGAAATAGAGTGTGGCACAAGGGATGGTGTTTGAGAGAAGAATGAACAAAGATCAATGCCCAAACAACATCAGGCTCTGGAGAGTACAAGATTAAATATGAACATATACAAGCATTAATTATGATATAAGCATTAAATTAATTTGATAATGTGAGATGAGTAATTTGAAATATGTAGGAGTATATTGTACTAAAGCGTTAATGAGTTTTGACATCATGTTAGTGTAGTATACATGAGCCAACATGAGTGACCAAATGGGGTGAGCTGAGGACGGAGTACCCAAGCAGGCTTAATGGTCTGTTTATTAGATTTTGACCACCTAGACTGCTAGGTGGCTGAACTGTAATATATAGGCCACCTGCCCACTAGGGGGCTAGGTGTCCTATTGCTTCAGTCAATCACTGAGTGATTGACTGAGGCAATAAGTAGACAGAACACCTAGCGGACTAGGTGGGCAGACCACCCAAGCAGGCTCAGTGGTCTGTTTATTAGATTTTGACCACCTAGACTGCTAGGTGGCTGAACTGTAATATATAGGCCACCTGCCCACTAGGGGGCTAGGTGTCCTATTGCTTCAGTCAATCACTGAGTGATTGACTGAGGCAATAAGTAGACAAAACACCTAGGCGGCTAGGTGATCTGTCTATTAAAGTTTGACCACCTAGACTGCTAGGTGGTCAAACTTTAAAAGATAGGCCATCTAGCCCGCTAGGTGGCTAAGGTTCCTAGCTAGCCTATTGCCACAGTCAATCACTCAGTGATCAACTGGGCAGATAGGTTACCTAGCCATCTTGCGGGCTAGATGGCTAGCTAGCTAGCCTATTGCCCCAGTCAATCACTCAGTGATTGACTGGGCGGAGAGGCTACACAGCCACCTAGCAAGCTAAGAGGCTGGCTAGATAGCTAGCCTATCTCTCCAGTCGATCACCCAGTGATCGACTGGGCGGATAGGCTACACAGCCACCTAGCGAGCTAGGAGGCTGGCTAGCTAGCTAGGTGAGAGGCTACCTAGCTAGCCTATCTCCCCAGTCGTTCACTTGGTGATCAACTGGGGAGATAGGCCACCTAGCGGGCTAGGAGGGTAGCTAGTTAGCTAGCCTATCTCCACAGTCAATCACTGGGTGATTGACTGGGGAGATAGAACACCTAGCCACCTAGCGGGCTAGCTGGCTAGCTGGCTAGCTGGGTTGGTAGCGATGTAGGTAAGAGGCTAGCTGGCTAGCTAGATAGGTGGAAAGCTAGCTAGCTAGCCTATTGCTGCAGTCAATCACTGGGTAATCGACTGTGGCAATACACAGACAGGACACCTAGGTAGCTAGGTGGTCTGTCTATTAAACTTCAACCACCTAGAAGTTGGGTGGGTGAGGCTTAATAGACAGGCCACCTAGCTACCTAGTTGTCTAGGTAGCCTATTGCCACATTCAATCACTCAGTGATTGACTGGGACGTAGCTATTAGCTAGCTGTCAGCTAAAGTCTACAAAAGGGTTCCTTTGTAAGGCTAGACTGGATAATACGTACAATAATTGTTTGTGAAGTTTTGAATGGCTCTGTTTCAATAAAGCTAAGGACTATCTATTGAGATACATTCACGCCTTGAGTTAGTAGTTACCTTTGTGAAGTGCAGAATCTAACTGGAAAGAGTACTCACTAGATATGTAAACACCTCAATTCTTCTACAGATAGGTACTAAGGTACACTTATCTCAGGTAAGGTTGTAAGTTCTACTAATCAGTGAAAAAACGGGGAGGTCTGCCTTAAAGAAAAACCTTTGACCTGTCTTTGACTAGTTCAAAGCTTGTAAGGCAAGGGTTGAACTTGAATAACATTCCCCAACAATATGAGCTTCATATAGCACTGATTTCAAACGATAACATGTGGTGAAACACAAGTAAAAACAATTAAAGTAGGATCTAGTACAGTTCAGTAATAAGATCTCTGTTTCAGTGGTGTGCGGCTGGGTCTTGCTAGAATGTTACAGAATGAAATGTTCTCATAACATGGATTGTGGTGGTAGTATAAGATGACTATCTTTACTTTGGCAGAGGAAGTTGGTTGGGCCTTTGTTTCTATCTGGTTTAGATTAGTATTCTATTAATCATAGTCTGTTGTAGCTTTGAATATAGTATCAACTGTAGTGAAGGGTGTTTCAATATCCATGCCTTGATGTGTTGGCGGATGGGTCAAACACTGATCTTTATGTGATGACTTTGCCGGATGTTGTCTGGGCTGGATTGTGCCATCCATCTGTTGCTATGGGATTGCTGAAGGATAGGGTGTAAGATGGGATTGGAAGTTCTATTTGTCCAGGAATGACAAGAAGAAACAAAGATAAGAGTGAGAGATTTGACAAGGAATAATTGACACTACGCCAAATTGCAAATTTACCGTGGAGTTTAGAAAATTGAGTAGACATAGAAAATTATAGAGAAGCTCGCAAGGGTCAGAAAAATATGAAAAAATAATGGGAGGGCCCTTTGATGCATTCCGATTGTCTGGCATATTTTTTCATATTTTTAAAACCACAATGCATAAGGGGTTCTCAAAGTTGGCCCGGTTTCAAGAAAACCCAGTTGACCCGGTTGCTTTTTGGCAGTAACCTTGTGTATCGAGTTGACATTTTTTGACAGATCACAGCCAAAACGCCAAGTGGGTCAACCAGGTTTTTACAAACTGGGCCTACTTTGAGAACCCCTATATAATACTACACAAAATATAATATCTTCTGGGCAGAAAATATAAAAACCAACAAACAGTGATATTGAGCAGTCTTGGAGAGAGACAAAAATACACAAAAATATGCATATTGTGCCTATGGCTGAGACCTTGGATTTGAGTATTTTTTTGTATTTTTAGTGTGAGAATTGTTGATTGTACTAACAAAAAACCTCCAAGTTTCTCAGATTACAACCTGTAACAGACATTGGAGGGCATAATTTGAATTCAACAACCCCTTATATCTTTGTCAATTCTTGGTCAAACCACTTGATTTTTTGTTCATTGGAAAGCCAAACTCTGTGACTATATCTTTCATTGAGACAAAAAAACCTGCATCTAATCCCAAAGAATATCTATGTGGCTATATAGGAAATTGTTCAAAGACAAATAGGTTTTTTGT